CTGAAGCAAGATTTTGACAGCCAATTGAATAATTTAGTTAAATGTTCAAGTTATAGATATTTGGTTCAAAATTTTTGTTTACAATATTACTTATGTAAACCAATACCAGTTATTTATAAGACATGTATTACCAAAATAAGACTTAGTAGTCATGATTTAGCTATAGAATGTGGACGCTATTCTCCAATTCCATGAAATAATAGACTATGTAGTTTTTGTAAAAATGACATTGAAAATGAGATGCATTTCACTTTGAAATGTCCCACTTATCAAGGTCTTAGATCTTATTTTATCAAACCTTATTATTGGAGAAAACCTTCTATGTATAAATATATACAATTAATGAGTTCTAATAATCTAAGAGAATTATGTAATTTGGGTAAATTTATATTTCGTGCACAAAAATTAAGATCTAACATGTTGTAATATGTTTCACACTACCTTCTTCTATCTATGTATACTGTGTGTAGTTTATATGTTGTGTGCCTATAGTTGTTATGACTTTGGTAAATAAAGATTAGATCGATTATTGCCCTTAATATATCCATAATCATATGATTGCACAGTTAAACATGACAATCTTTTGATTATTGCACTTACTATTCATGATTATCGGATTACATATTTTTGATTATTGCCCTTAATATTCGTAATTATCTAATTTAAGGTATGATTGTTGCCCTTGATATTCATGATAGATTAGATAATGTAATATCAAACTTTGATCATGTTAATCATTTAATTATTGTCCTTATTATTCATGATCAGGAGCAGATCCAGGATTTTGAAAAAGGGGATGAGGCCCTATGGTAAGCCAACGTTTGGAGCAATATGTTTAAAAAGTCTATACATTTATCATATATGAAGCTCCCTGCCCCTTCTAAATCCACTTTGATGATCATTTGATTACAGGATTTAATCATCATCATCATTATGAATCGATTGTTTGATTATTGTCTTTTATAACCTGGTTTAATCATGCCAATAGTTTCGATTTCTGCCCTAAAAATTCATGATCATGTTATTATGTAGGTTGATCATTTAAATAGTTTGAATACTCCCCTTATATTTATGATTATGTGGTTACACTTTGATCATGTTAATAGTTTGATTACTGCAATTGAATTGCAATACATATATAAAGCCTGTACCTTATCAACAGTACATACATGTCATATAGACTGTACCTAAGAACCATATAGACAAAACTTATAACCTGAACCTAAGAACCATAAACAATACATATACCCTATATCTAAGAACCATAGAAAATATATTAAGCATATATCTAAGAACCATAGAAAATACATTTAGACTGTACTTAAAGACCATAGACAACATAATAAGCTTATATCTAAGAATTATAGACAATATATAAAGCCCATATCTAACAACAATATACTATACATATGATATAGACTGAACCTAAGAACCATAGATAAAACATATCATGCATTTAACCTTTATCTAAGAACAAACGATAATACATATAAACTAAACCTAAGAACCATAGACCGTACATAAAGCCTTTATTTTAGAAGCATAGACAATACATATAGACTGGACCTTAGAACCATAGACAATATATATAGCATATATTCAGTGGCGGATGCAAAAATATTCATGAGTGGGGGCCCACTGATTGCCTAAGAGGAGGCCTGCTCCAGTCATGCTTCAGTGATTCCCTGTATAATCAACCAAATTTTTCCCACAAAAGGGGGAGCCCTCCCCTCCTCCCCCTAAATCCGCCTCTGTTATTTAAAAACCAAAGACAATACATATAGATTGAACCTAAGAACCAAAAACAATACATATAGCCTATATCTAAAAACCATAGACAATATATATATATCTTATATTTAAGAACCATAGACTATAAATATAGACTAAACCTAAGAACCAATATCTTGAAACACTTTCAGATTGTAACAATGGTCAGAAAAGACATTTCTTAACCTACTCTTTTAAATATTTCTAACACTGGAATATACAATTATAAAATATGTGGCAAGGAAACCTGTAGTGATTTATGCAAGAATGCTATTCTATGCAAGAATGTAATATTGATCTTATTGCGAACCAAATGGAACTTTTCAATAGGGTCATCTTCTATTGGTCAAGGTATTTAAACATTTATCTGTTCTATTACCAATTGAATAAATACAATAGTTATTAGTCTCTTTATAGTTTATTCACTGGGACCTTTTAATTTCTTCTAAGAGAAATCTATCACTCAATGATTAATTACATGAATAAAAAAATGGTCTTCTAAATCTATGAAAATAAATGTATCAACTCACAAAACCGCTTGCTTACCTTTACTATGAATTCTGCAAGATCATGCATGAAACAAAAATATTGATATTTTCGCCAGAAATTATTTGACAGAATGACTTTATATGTGTTCAACTGCTTTACAGTAAAGAGTTGTAGAGAATTTGCTCTTTTCAGATATGTCGTGCACCAACTTCCTGTTTTTCTATACTTTCTTCTCGAAATGCAATGTGTTCTGTCTGACTTCTTTGAAAGTTCATAGTTTCAGTACTAAAAGAATTAATGAGAGCTTACACCTTCTAATATAAGCATTTTATATTTCAGGTTAGTCAACATCTACTATGCCAAAGTTCACCTAAGACATCAAGGAGTTAACACACAGATGGTTGAGCAGAATAACTGAACAATACAGAAAAAAAAAGATTTAACATTCTGTAATACATGAACCATTTAAAGTTTTTCCTAGGTGCTAGGATGAAATTTGAAAAAAATAGGCAGGACAGGAGTTTTGAGTTAAAAAAGGGGGGATGAGACACTATGCAAAAAAATGATGACAATTTATGTAAAAAAAAAGTCAGGATAACCTAAAAAAAAAAAAAGGCAGGACCGAATAGAGTGAAAAATAAATAGGCAGGACAGAGACCTGATACAATTTGTATCACGTTCTGATGACGTTTTTTTCAGCAAACTATCGACATTCCAATGGAAAGCAACTGGATCCGGACTCTTCTTCCTGCCGACTTGTTCCGTTATTCACATGAAGCAGACTCCATACGGGAGCTTCTACGGAAGAATGAAAAGAAGCTAGCATTAATCTATGAGTTCACATTTGGCTATCTAGATGATTTCATCTTACTGAATAATTCAAAGTTTAGTGACTATGTTAAACAAATCGATCCCATCGAACTTGAAATTAAGGATACACAAGATACAGTTAAATGTGCCTCATATCATGACTTATATCTAAAATTGACAATGAGTATCGGCTAATAACAAAACTTTACGACAATAGAGATAATTCAGCTTCCAACTCTACATTCTCCCGTTCTATGTAGTAACATCCCAGCAGCGGCTGCATATGGATTATATATCTCACAGTTGATACGATATTCCAAAGTTTGTATTCCCTGTCATGATTTCCTTGATAGAGGGTTGCTGCTTACAAGGAAGATATTGACCTATGAGTTCCAAGTGGTAGAGTAATCTATAGACAACATGTATCTAGGAACCAAACCATCTATATACATCTTTATCTAGGAACCATACTATCTATAGACAACATTTACCGAGGAAACAACACCATATATAGACAACTTGTATAAATTTAAGAACCATACCTTCTATAGATAACATATATTTAGGAACCATACCATCTGTAGACAACTTGTATTAAGGAACCACACCATATATGGACAACATGTGTCTTGGAACCACACCATCTATAGACAACTTGTATCTAGGAACCCCAACATCTATAAACAACTTATATCGAGGAACAAAACCATGTATAGATAACCTGTATCTAGGAACCACACCATATATAGATAACTTATATCTAGTAACCACACCGTCTGTAGACACCTGGTTTCTAGGAACCAAACAATATATTGATAAGTTATATCTTGGAACCATACCATCTTAAGACAACTTGTATCCAGGAACCACAGCATATGTAAACAACTTGTATCTAGGAACCATACCTTCTATATATAACTTATTTCTAGAAACCATACCATTTATTTAAAACTTGTATCTAGGAACCACACCATCTATAGACAACTCATATTTAGGAACCACACCGTATATAGACAACATGTATCCAGCAACCATACGAAATCTAGACAACTAGTATCTAGGAACCATACCCAGTAACGACAACTTGTATCTTGATATTATAGACATGGTGTATCCAGGAACACACTATGTAAAGAAAGCCATCGTATTTAATTAATTTTCTTTTAAAACCAACCTGCATCTAAGAACCATAGACAAGAGAGGCAAAAGATACCAAAGAGACATTCAAACTCATAAGCCGAAAATAAACTGACAACACCATGTAGATTTGAACCTTAGATATACTAGTATATATAATTGATATACGCCTTTACTCTGTACTTTCATTTGAAGATTCAATCGGTTATTCATAAAAATGTTACACAACAGTATTAATATAGGCTATGGTTATGAAGAGACACCGTTCATATCTAGAACTTTGTCATTTGGTTGCATATGTATATGATATTATCCGACAGTTTTATGGTCAAACGAAGATAATTGGTCACAGGTTGCATGTATAACTTTATAGTCCTCAATGTAGTATATATATTTAAACAGTGTTTTGTTAGTGAACTTCAATAATATTTTGACAGCATCGAAATGTTGTTTTGGTTCTGCAGCATACTGGGCCATATCATGGCCAACTGTTTTCCCCAGTATTAGCCAGTACAAGTAAAAACTCATAAATTTTATGTATTTTTGTTTACTTCTTATCTGGGATTGCGCTTTGATTGTAGGAAGAAGGCTGCATTTGTAATAATTTTGATATTCGTAAATAATTAGATGACTGTGTAAACAATATGTTTTGGCTTTCCAATTATATTTTACAACATTTTAAAATACAATAAAATAAATTTAAATATGAATAAATATTCTATAACTTAACGAAGGTTGATTGGTCATGCAATCTAATTAACAATGCCATTTACAAGGATATAAAAAGACAAATAAAAGATTCACAAATATTTATTTTCTAAATTTATCTCCTGGTTGTATTTTCTTTTAGCATTTCAAGTCACATGATAAATCAATTTTGTATCAATTACATAAATATCTAAGAAATTTGTGCTGTTCAAAATCAATTGAGATATGGATTATTAAGATGTCCTAATAACAACAAACGTTTTAGCTAAATACATCACTGAAAATTTATGCATATAAAAAAATAAATATTTCTTTTTTACATGAACTGGTGCTTTCATTTTCTATTATACTACATGTACAAGCCACTGTGTACAATGATTTTCCCAGTATGGCATTGATGAAAGATGTTATATATCTGCTGTTTTGGTTTTTTGTATATTTGATTTATGTTTCAATACACATTTGTATATCATGTATATCAGTGTCAATGAAATTTAACTGCAGTTTTGTAGCTTGAATGAAAAAATATGAATGAAAAATCAAGTACATTGAAATGTCTGTGTTATGTATAGTTAATAGCAACATTTTGCATAATCATTTGCAACCGTTCCTACTATGAAAAGCCTCATTTTTCTCCTTATTTGCTGTCAAAAGAAAATTTAAGTACACTTGATATAGAAACATGTGAAAAAATTATACTCTTTTTATTGATATTGACTGAATAATGTTTTTCTAATTTCTATACTGTAAATATGTTATTAATTGATGCAAGCAAAATTTTGATGCTAATAATAGTGAGTTGTAATAGTTGCCTATGATAAAAAAAAAATTTCACTGCATTCAATTTTGTTTACGTAATTTTTGTGATTTTTTTTTCGTACTGACAAATATTCAAATTACCCAATAAATTATAAGTTAACCTGAAAAGAACCATATCGTTCATTCATATTTTTGCATTTAAAATTTCAAGCTTCTTCCTATAGATTTCATAACTTACAGCAAAAAAAAAACAGTGAAAGATTCGAAAAAAAAAAAATTTCAGGGGCAATAACTCCAAACAGATACTTTGATTTTTTTCAATTTCCACAGTGGATACATGTTTTTGCTCTGATAGTTATTACAGTTTACAGTTTTAACCTCTATTTCAAAGGTAGAAGTCAAAAATTGTGAAAATGGATAGAAAAAAACGTACATTTCAAGGGCAATAACTACATATAAGATTTTCAGATTTTTCTGAAAATAACGGGCAGATAAGCTAATAAACTACAAGACATTGTACATTAATTATATTGTGCCTTGCATATTAAGCAAATGAAGTCCTGTCCCTCATGTGTTGTTATTTTGACACACTGAAAGTGTGAACACCTGCCACATGCTGAACACCTTATTCTCCATGACAATTGTATCAGCTAATGGCATCCGACCATGTCACACATTTCTCTTGTCAGCTATTGGCAGTCTTTTAGCAACTTGCATTGTTCTGTTCTAAACATCCTGAAGAATAGCAGGAGGATGTTCAAACCTGGACGTGTTGGGCTGATGTATTTTAAACCCTAAACATTCTGTAAAAAAATTAGAACACATATAAAATCTAGGAGAAAGAATGTATAGTTACACATAAAAACTTGTCATTGATCTTCTTTCAATACAAAGGTAGCTAAATTATAATAATGTTTCCTTTGAAACACATTGACTAGATTTATTAAAAACACTAATCTCAAAAAGCTATTATAGTGCAAACTGGTACATGACCAGACATGCATACACGTAAACTTGTCCATTCTTTTAATAAACTTATTCATAAAGGTTATCAATTTAACATTTTTTATCTGTTCTTAAATTGATTGTGTTATATATAAAATAATAATAAATTAAAACATAACTAAATATGTATTTCTATACAGTTGTGAACACTTCAGGTCCTACATACTGTTGATACTTATGTTCAGTTATGCACAGTGTCATGGTTTTCTTAGACTGGAAATTGCATCTTCTTATTAAATCCACTGGAGGTAAACTGATTGATATTTCAGTCTTGAAAACCTGTTTGTTATTTTTTGTAATTGGCTTTGAAATTGCCTTCAATTACTGTGAGTACTCTTAGATCAATATTTTGTGTTTTTAGTATTTTTGTTAGTTATTCAATGGTGCTTTGTATTGATTTGATGAGTCAAGCCTTTTTCAACTGGCTTTTACAGTTAGTTCTCAAGTTGTGCTGTAACATCACTTTCTCTGGTTAATGGAAGGTTGACCCTAATTAACAAGGTTAACCCTTCCTCATTTTATAAGTGATTGTCCTTTTGAAGACAGTTGTTTTTTATTCAGTATTTGTTGTAAGTTGCTGTGTATCATAATTATTGTGTTGTTAATTGTTTTGTACATAATTCAGACTGTTAGTTTTCTTGGTTGAATTGTTTATCATTTTGTCATGTTACTAGCTTTTATAGCTTACTTTCTAGTATAGTTTTTGTTCATTGTTAAAGGGCCATATGGTGATCTTTAGTTGCTTAGAATAGATATGTGGTATCTGGTGGATAGTTGCCTCAGCTAAAAAAATTCTCAATAAATAATGTTTTTTTTTCTCTCGATATATTAGTGTTTGTTTGTTTATTTTCAACATGTACTTTGGATCCTTAATGGTTTATGATCATTCAATGTCACAACTGTATGTCCTAATCAATATACATTAGTCATGAATAGAAATTGTATCATTTGTGTGCTTACTTCAAAACTCAGTGGACTTGGTTTCTTTGTTCAATATAATTGATACGACGGTCTCACCAGTTTCCAACATTTCATTCACCTGGAAATAAAAAGAAATGTTCCAAAAAGACTTGGACAGAACAAGTGTACAGAGTATCATATACCTAGAAAACATAGGTAAAAAATATATTTCTACTCTGTGATTATTTTTGGTCAATGTAAACTTTACAAAAGAACAATTTGATCAAAATTATGAGTTTAGATGTACAACAAATTTAATGAAAGTGCCAAACATAAGATATTTTGACCTATATCAAATTTTGAGGATTGTGGATTCATAATTTTTTGTGGAATACCCATTTTCGTAGATTTCTTGGTTGGATGAACCACTATTACAAATTTAAATACATTGTATTCAACAAAGAAGCCATTCTGTATTAGCTTGAATGCAGCCTTTTGCAAAACCATGAATCCAAATATCCATTCAAGTATGATTTTTCCCATTCAACGAAAAAAATAATAATCCTCATAAATTGATGTAGCTGCATATAATCTAAAGTATAAAAGGTAGAGCTCCTAGTAGAAATTGTAGGGTTTTTTTAAATTGTACTTACCACCTCCTTCGCCTTTTCCCAATCTTTCTTGGTTTTTTTGGTCCTATAAATAAATATGGTAAATTATTTATCAAACTAGAACTGCTATTATGCACAACCATTCGTTTTTATGAATCATAATTACCAAAAGAAATAAAGATACTTAGGCATGCACAACCTGTAGTATAGTGGGAAACAAGATGTATATGTTATGCTTGCTGTATGTTCTGTACCCTCCCCCCTCTAAATCATGTGTGATTTACCATACCTCACATCTCAGGCTTGACTGAATTAAAATCTATTGATTTGGTTGATTTTTGCACTATTGACTTACTTCAAGGCTGACAATTTTTGTTGATCGAGGAAGCTGGAATGCCAGAAGAAATTGGAATGCTATTATATTTATATAAAGTTTACCAATAATATATATATTGTCTATGGTTCTTAGATATAGGCTTTATACATTGTCTATGGTTCTTAGGTTCAGTTTAAATATATTATCTATGGTTCTAATATAATTGCTTTATGTACTGTCTATGGTTCTTAGATATAAAGTTTATTTATTGTCTATGGTTCTTAAATATAGGCTATATATATTGTCCATGGTTCTTAGATATAGGCTATTGTATTGTCTAAGGTTCTTAGATATAGGCTTTATATATTGTCTATGGTTCTAAGATGCAGTCTACATATATTGTCTATGGTTCTTATATATAGGCATTATATATTGTCTATGAACCACTGGTACAGTCTATATGTATTGTCTATGGTTCTTAGATATAGGCTTTATATATTGTCTGTGGTTCTAAGATATAGGCTTTGCATATTGTCTATGGTTCTTATGTTCAGTCTATATGTATTATCTATGGTTCTTAAATATAAGCTTTATATATTGTCTATGGTTCTTAGATATAGGCGTTATATATTGTCTATGAATCTCTGGTACAGTCTACATATATTGTCTATGGTTCTTAGATATAGGCTTTTATATATTGTCTATGGTTTTTAGATAAAGGCTATATATATTGTCTATGGTTTTTAGATAAAGGCTATATATATTGTCTATGGTTCATATGTTCAGTCTATATGTATTATCTATGGTTCTTAAATATAAGCTTTATATATTGTATATGGTTCTTAGGTTCAGTCTATATGTATTGTCTATGGTTCTTAGGTTAAGTCTATATGTATTGTCTATGGTTCTAAAATATATGCTACATTTATTGTCTATGGTTCTTAGATATAGGCTATATGTATTGTCTATGGTTCTTAGGTTCAGTCTATATGTATTGTCTATGGTTCTTATGTTCAGTCTATATGTATTGTCTATGGTTCTCAGATAAAGACTTCATGTATGGTCTATGGTTCTTAGGTTTAGTTTATATGAATTATCTATGGTTCTTAGAGAAAGGCTATATGTTTTGTCTATATGGTTCTTAGGTTCAATGTATATGTATAGTATATAGTTATTAGATATAGGCGTTATATATTGTCTATAATTCTTAGATATCAGCTTGATATGTTGTCTTTGGTCTTTAGGTACAGTCTATATGTATTGTCTATGCTTCTAAAATAAAGGCTTTATGTACGGTCTATGGTTCTTAGGTTTAGTTTATATGTATTATCGTTTGTTCTTAGATAAAGGCTATATACATGATATGTTTTGTCTATGGTTCTTAGGTTCAGTCTATATCATATGTATAGTATATTGTTGTTAGATATGGGCTTTATATATTCTCTATAATTCTTAGATATAAGCTTATTATGTTGTCTATGGTCTTTAAGTACAGTCTAAATGTATTTTCTATGGTTCTTAGATATAGGCTTAATGTATTTTCTATAGTTCTTAGATATAGGGTACATGTATTGTTTATGGTTCTTAGATGTATGCTTTAATAATTGTCTATATAGTTCTTAGGTACAGTCTATATGACATGTATGTATTGTTGATATGGTTCTTAGGTACAGGCTTTATATATATATTGTAATTCCAGTGCAGTAATCAAACTACTAACATGATTAACATGATTAAAGTGTAACCACATAATCATAAACATTAGGGGAGTATTCAAACTAATAAAATGATCAACCGATATAATAACATGATCATGAATTTTAAGGTCAGAAATCAAAACTATCGGCATGATTAAACCAGGTTATAAAGGACAATAATCAAACAATCGATTCGAAATGATGATGATGATTAAACCCTGTAACCACATGATCATCAAAGGTGGATTTAGAGGGGGCAGGGAGCTTCATATATGATAAATGTATAGACTTTTTAAACATTTTGCTCCAAACGTTGGTTTTCCATAGGGCCTCACCCCCTTTTTCAAAATCCTGGATCTGCACCTTTCATGAATAATAAGGGCAATAATCAAATGATTAACATGATCAAAGTGTGATATTACATTATCTAATCTATCATGAATATCAAGGGCAATAATCAAACCTAAAATTAGATAATTATGAATATTAAGGGCAAAAATCAAAAATATGTAATCAGATAATCATGAATAGTAAGAGAAATAATCAATAGATTATCATGTTTAACTGTTCAATCATATGATCATGGATATTAAGGGTAATAATCAAATGATCATCATGTTCGAAACAGTGTTATCAGATGATCATGAATATAAGGGCAATATTCAAACGATCATCATGTTCAAACTGTGAAATCAGAAAATCATGAATATTAAAGGCAATAATCAAACAATCATCATGTTCAAACTGTGTAGTAAGATAATCATGAATATTAAGGGCAATAATCTAACGATCATCATAGCCAAACCGTGTAATCAGATAATCATGAATATAAATGGCAATAATCAAACAATCATCATGGGCTAACTGTTTAATCATATGATCATGATTATCAGGGGCAAAAATCAATCGATCATCATGGCCTAACTGTTTATTCATATGGTTATATATATTAAGGGCAATAATCAAACAATCATCATGGCCTAACTGTTTATTCATATGGTTATATATATTAAGGGCAATAATCAAACAATCATCACGGCTTAACTGTGTAATCAAATGATTATGAATATTAATGGCAATAATCAATAAATCATAATGGTCCAACTGAGTAATCATATGATTATGAATATTAATGGCAATAATCAAACAATCATCATGGCCTAACTGTTTAATCATATGAGCATGATTATCAAGGGCAATAATCAGACGATCACCTAGGCCTAACTGTGTAATCATATGATTATGAATATTAATGGCAATAATCAAACAATCATAGTAGCCCAACTGAGTAATCATACGATTATGAGTATTAATGGCAATAATCAAACAATTATCATGGCCTTACTGTGTAATCATATGATCATGATTATCAAGGGCAATAATCAGACGATCATCACGGCCCAACTGAGTAATCATATGATTATGAATATTAATGGCAATAATCAAACTATCATAGTAGCCCAACTGAGTAATCATACGATTATGAATATTAATGGCAATAATCAAACAATCATTATGGCCTAACTGTTTAATCATATGATCATGATTATCAAGGGCAATATTCAGAATAATGTAAAATAAATTTTAATATTGTTTCAAGGAGAAGATAAAATTGAGAATGGAAATGGGGAATGTGTCGAAGAGACAACAACCCGACCAAAGAGCAAAAAAACAGCCGAATTGGTTTTAGAATAAATGTGTTTATTTCCGATGCAAAGACCCTATGAGTGAATCAATATTAATACCAAAATATGCCATCTTTAATGACCTGACAACAGTATCGTAACTATGTCCCTTTTCAATAAGTCTGTTTAAAGGTTTGGTTACATTTGAGGTGAATGACAACATTTTTGTGCTTTGTAAAGAATATTACCATAAAAGATTGGATGTGAAATACCTGAACGTATAAGATGTCTGCATGTTGATTTATATTTACGAATGATGTCCTTGTACCGATGATAAAATTTAGTAAATGTTTTGACTAGTTTGTGATATCGAAAACCCTGGTATAATAATTTTTCTGTTATACAGAGATTTCTTTCTTTAAAATCAAATACGTTGTTACATACACGAGCAAATCGAACAAGTTGAGATATATAAACACCATAAGATGGTGACAAGGGAACGTCACCATCTAAAAATGGATAATTAACAATAGGAAATGAAAAATCATCTCTTTTATCATAAATTTTCATAAGTTTGAAAAACTTGTGTCTTAACCTTTTTGACTCTTTGATCAAATAAAATATTTATCAACTAATTCCAACAAAAAGTACTTGGAAGATACTTGATTTCTTATTTGACAGAATATTTGTTGATTTTGGTGGTCTGTTTTTTAACAAATAATGGCACCAATTGTACACCGCTTTCATTCGATTTGTTCTTGTATTCCTGTCACACTTCAGCCAGGCCCGGAAGGGTTGGGTTATCCAATAGTTAAATAGTTCGGGAGCTACTACAGAAAATGAGAAGAAAATAGCCCAGTCTTATAGTTTCAGCTTTCGTTACATAGATAT